CTGGTAGGTGTTGTCAAAGCTGTCATACATGAACCTCGTGATCAGAGACGTCTTCCCAACTGCAAGACAGAAAGGAGAGAGATGTTCAGCTGAAAGAAGACGAGCCGGATGGCCAGCGTCTTTCAACTTGAAGGAGAGATTGGCTTATAAGAACCACAGGAAGGCGGGAAGCAGACCCAGGAAAAAGACCCCAAGTCAAGGTGCTGAGGGTCTACACCAGGTGAGCTCCAGAGGCACTCTTGTCAGATGCCAGGTTACCATGGAGAAGGAGCCCTACCCTTTCCCCAATTCCTACCACACCCAAGTCCAGGTCTGTCATGGCCTTGGGTACCAGAGGACATTCAAGGCCAACAGGATGCTCTTCTTATAGCTGCCCGTGTTCCCTGGGCCACACCATCTCACCATGGGGCATCCGCTCACAGAGTTTCCCATTTATTCAGCTTACACATTAGTGACAAAGGGGCAGGAAAGGTAGCTGTCCTTTCTTATTGTCTCTCAAGGGCAAGCCTATTCCCCACGGAGTGGAGTGTGCCTGACTGTCCAGCCCAACGCTGGGCCCTTAGTATCTCTAGATCCCACCGTGTAAATGACAAGAGGATTCCCAGATACTGTGACAACTGCAGACTTACCCACACGTCTGTAAGCACCCTAACTGGGGCAGAAATGTCCCCAACTGAAAACTGCTAGTATGGTTAAGAGGCCGAGTCTCTTGGGAGACCCATAAATGCCGCTAATTTCCCAAACCGCAGGCTTTGGCTCCTGACACAACCCCGTGCAGCTCCCCTGGGACATGGCAGTGACAGGAATGCCAACTGTTGTACTTCTAGCCATCTGGGAGGGGAAGGAGGATAAGAGAGGGACATTTGTTGGAACATGGAGCACTTCTCTCCTCCATCCTCCCAGGACTCTGCCACAGTCCTGGGAGGCGCAGAAGGAGTGGCAGGAGACAGCCATCCCTGACAAGGAAGGCGAAGATGCCTACGGCCATGAGCTCTCACCATTCTGTCCTCTCCATGTCCAGCAGACCATGGGCACACACTGGGACTGGAGGCATGGCTCGTCGCTGCCTGGATAGGCCTGGACAACCCAATGATCCCGGAAAGGGTCGCTGCTCAGTCTGAATCTACAGACACGTAACATTGCTGACAGCCCACACTGGAGAAAGAGAGGCAGTTACCTTACCAGGAGGCCCCGACAAACCAGGATTGGGCTGCAGTCAAAAGACCCAAGTCCGACCCAGATGGGGTCAAATCCCACTGGGGCACGTTTTAGCTGTGTCACCTTTGAGGTCGCCACTCCTCTGGACCCCTTTATAACATGTCAAAGCAGTCAGAGGATGTAATCAGAAGTGAGTAAGGATTAAAAGAGAAAGGTACATGAGAAAGGCTGAAGGAGGGATCAGGTCACTTCAGAGAGCTGAGGTACTTTCCAGAATGACAGATGAGGAGAAAAACGAAACCACGAGCACTAAGTTTGTATAATGAAGAAATGGATTCCTCCTTGTCTTGGGATGGGGACATTTATATGCTTGGATTGGCATTTGGGGGAGAGGGGGTAGTATCTTTGTTTTTCCTAAGCCCTAGTCACTATACCTGAGCCTATACTAATGAGGTGGTGGCTCCCTAGGTGGCCTCGGGATGAAGCTGTCCATTACAAGACCAGAGGGGTGGGGTCTGGAGCCAATGTAAACTCCAGGAAAGGGAGGAAGCCTGGAGACCGAGCTCCAACACACGGACAACTTTCAACCAGCTCTGTCTACACAGTGAAACCCCAGTAAGAACTCTAGACACCCATGCCCTGGAAAGGCTCATGGGGGAGCCTGCTGGGTTGTGAACACACAGATGTGCCCTGAGGGTAGACAGGCTGTAATTCCATGGGGAAAGGGCCCAGCCTTTCTGTATTCATGGCACTCCTAGACTCACTGATTGGGGAGTCCGGCTAGCTCCAGGGATCTGCCTGTCTCTGCCAGGACTGTGATTTTAGATGTGTGGTACCACACATGTGACGTGGTGCTGAGGAGCCAAACTCAGGTCTTCAGGATTGCATGGTAGGCTACCAACTGAGCTCTCTCTCCACTGCCCCTCATCCCCGCCACTGCAATCTTAGGAGTGCTTTCCTGAGTCTGTTATTGAACCTGAGGAGCACTGGGGACTAGTTGGTCAGAAGTATCCATGCCATGGGATCCCCCAAACATTTTCCAGCTCCTCTAGGTCGAGACAGTTCCTGACGGCCCAGGTGCCCCTTCACACCCTTCCTCAGGCCATCATGCTCTTTAGAACATTTGTCTGTGCACTTTTATTTCTGGTCGGTTTGTTTTGTCTCAGCCCCACCTTGGGCAGGGTCAAATTGCAGTGTCTCTGTCCTGTCCCTGGCTTCTGAAGTCTCTGGGTTCAACAGTCTTTAGGGGACTGGACTGACTGCCCTGCTCTGGACACAAAGCATGACAATGCTACCAGATGCCGGGAGCTGCAGGGAAAGATGTCCTCCATGGCTGTCTCCAGGAACCCACAGGAGGCCTGAGTAGAGCGAATTACATCCCCTCTGCCCGCCCACACTGGTCCCCGCCATGGCATCAAATGAAAGAGCTCTATGGGCTTGGGGTGTTCTCTGCCAAGCTCACCTAACCCTGAAGGGCAGAAGCCCCTTCCCTGTCCCTTTCCTGCCTTATACAACAGGCCTGGCTAGAAGATGCTGGCATCTGGAAATCGACCTGACTAGGCACTGCTGTAGGTCATGGCAAAAGGGAGGGCCGAGAGGGGTGGGAGCACTCAGCAAGCACCGGGACAGCAGCTGGGGAGGGGCAGAAACTGCTGGTAAGCCTCAGCCTTTAATCCCTGCAGGAACCCTCCAGAGAGAGCCGGCTCCCACCCTGCTCCATCCTGAAGGTCACCCCGTCTCCCTGCCAACAACAGCTCACAGACACACTGCAGCAAAGCAGGGCAGTACTTTATTAGACACAAGCAGGGGAATCACTGCAGAGCTCTCTCTGCCCTCGGCTCAGGGCTTGGCAACACTTGTCATCGCCTGGATGTGCAGTCCCACACGACTAAACCGGGAGCTGCCTTTCTGTTTCTCCAGCCAAAGGAAGGTGAGGAAAGTCACCCCTGGGCACTGACCAGGACCCTCTAGGAAGGAGGAAACACTCATGCTCACTGGGCCTCTACTTAAACCGGGCAGGGTATTTGGCTTTGTCCTTGGGTCACCTCGGGAACCCTTGCTTCCGTCCTGTGCATGAAGATATCCAAGGTCACAAAGCAGACAGGCAGTGGAGCTGGGATAGGAGCACAGATCTGTCACAGCACCTTCGCCTCAGCCACCGCTCGGAGCTGCTTCATGTGGAGGTCTGGGCAGGCAACAGATCCTGGGGTCTGTGAGCAGAGCTGCTGGTGGGAGGGTGGGGTGGGCAGCAGGACCCCAGGCAGCAGGAACAGTGTAAGCCAATGCAGAGGCGGGGGATGGGGGAAGTGGGGGGTGGGGGATTCCATTAAGACAGGAGAAGAGAAGGCCGGGATCTCATGGGGATGTTATGTGGAGGCCCCTCAGTCTTAACCCTGCCTTACAGAAAACGGAGTCAGACCCAGTGTGCGAGGAGAGACGTGAACAGAAAACACTGTTCCCAGAAGCTCCATGAGGCTGCAGGGTTGATGGAAACAGAAACTCACCCTTGGGGCCAGCTGTGGAGGACGACAAAGGGCAGATAGAAAGGCTAGACTGGCAGGGGCATGGTAGCCATGGCTGAAGCTTCCAAGGCAGTGGGAGCTCCAGAAGAATCCTTAGCACAAAGGCTATGGATGTGCAGAGAAACGGTAGTTCAACATTCCCACCACAGGCTCGCAGAGGGGTCCCCATTCCACACGCTCTCTCTCACAATGCAAGTCTGGGACTCATTCAGGTGCTGAGTCTGGCGGGTCCGACTCCAGTGACAGAAACGATACTGTGTGACTCCCCACACCGAGGTATAAAGGGCAGATCGCCTGTCCGAAGTGGGCTCCTGCCCTAGACCTGGGCTGTCACATCTCATGAAAGCCCACTCCAGTCCATCTGGACGAGATCACTCTGGTGTGTTCGTGTGACAAGCAACTGAGACATCCCCTATCTCAGGTGACCTGTGCATGAAGGAGCCGTCTCATTCTGAGACCTCTTGCCTCAACCTCCAGGCTGCTTTCAATGCTGCGTGTTCAGAAGCAAAGCATGCTTGCCCTGCTGTGTCCTGCTCCAATTATGAACCCGAGGGCCATGTAAGTATCCTCCTCCTCCTCCTGCTGCTGCTGAGTTTGGGGTGGTTTGACAGAGGGCATGAGCTACTCAGAGTCAGTTCTGAGCTTTAAAAGGACCTCACCCTGCTCGGGGAGACTGGCTACAGAAGCTACCCTGGAGGTGGGGCAGAAGTCTGATGAGAGATGGACCATCTGAAAGGATGCAGGGGCAACAGGGGTGAAAGAACAGAGGAGGTGACAGGACCCCAGAGCAGGTCAGAGCCAAGTGAGAACCCAGGATGGATTCAGTCACCTGGCTTTGTAACCAGCAGATGATGGAGCCATTCTCTGGGCTCCAGCACCCAAGGAGAGATTGGGTAATCGGCTCAGATTCAGAGCACCACAAAAACTTTCCTTAGAAAGATCAGACAGTCTTAGAATCATCAGATATAGGCCCTGACTACAGAAAGTAAATATATAAAGCAATCATTCAGTCTCATGAGCAATGGGTCTACACCTATTTCCCATTAAATAACTTTTATTTTCTTTGAACTCTCTCCTGAGCTGCTGGACCAGGCTCTTGCACACTCCACAGGCTGTGAGGCACTCAGTCCCACACACCACGGAGGTACCACCAGCTGCTGGACAGACTGAACACTGGCCCTGGGGGGCCTTCTCCCAGTGCCTGCCTGCCTGTCTCCTCGGGGTCCACATACTCCACTCGCCTCCCACAGTCTGTGGGCCTCCGTGACTCAGCACAAGTTTCAGCCTGACAGATTTCTGTACATTCTGCTGGGTTCTAAATAGCTGTAGAAGACCGAGAAGTTTCCACATTCGGTGAGCCTCTACTGGGTGCTGACTCT